TAAAAATAATCCTATAAGTTATGTATTCTGTATTAAATCTATTCCCTTAACTACTGACTACAACACATGGCTATAGCACAGCTAAGCTGAGAAGTAAATTTATAGTACTAAGTCATCTATTAGAAAAAAGGAGAAGGTCTCAAATAAAAAAATGTCAAGTTCTATCTTCCACACTCCTAGAAAAAACAAAATAAACCTAAAGCAAGCAGAACAGAAATAATACAGATCAGATAAAAAAGTAATGAAATCAGAAAATAAAATCAGTGAAACAAAAATTTGGTTTTTTAAAAAACATCAATAAAATAGACAAACTTCCAGCAAGACTGATGGAGAGATGAGTGAGAAAGAGCAGGAGAAAAGAATATCATAAGTTACCACTACCAGTAATAAAATGGTGTAGCACTACAGACCGTGCAGATATCAAAATCACAATGTAGAGTTGGGCATGGTGGTGTAACCCTGTAATCCTAGCCCAGAACTCTGGGTGGCTGAGACAGGAGGACAGTGAATTTCAGCCCAGCTAGGCTAATACAGCAACCTATCAAGACCCTGTCTCAAAATAAAAACTAAAAAAAAGGGCTGGGGACATAGCTCAGTGTGAAGGTTCTGGGTTCATTCTTGAGTAGCTTCCCTTCCCCCAAGGATAGTATGGACTCAGCATGCTAATGCATGTCTGTAATACTAGCTACTTGGGAAGCTGAGGCAGGGAAGATTGAAAGTTCAAGGCCAGTCTGGGCAACTTAGCAAGATGCTGTCTCAAAACAAACAAACAAACAAACAAACAAAAGGTCTGAACATATAGCTCAGTAGTAGAGCATGCACAAGGCCTAGGATTCGATCAAAAACACTGGAGGAAAAACAAAAGAGAAATTCTCACAAAAAAGAATACCATATAGATTTAGTCTGTTTTTCATTACTATAATGAAATACCGCTAGCAGACTACAAAGACGTTTATTTTGCCTGTTGCTCTGGAGGTACAAGGTCTAGAGGCTATACCAACTTTTCTGCTAGCAGAGTTCCCCAGATGGCATTAGGGCACTGCATGGCAACAAACAGGGAATGCATACGTGTGTGTCTGTCTGGTTGCTCTCATGCTCGCTCTCTCATTGTATAAAACCATTTCATTCATGACAGCTCTAATGACTTTTACTTCTAGATCATTCCTAAAGGCCTCATTCTATATGTCACAGTTGGATTAAGTGCCTACCCTCTTAATACTTCACAATGGGTACTGAATTTCAACACATGAAGTCTTGGGGGACATTTAAACCATATCCAGATCATAACATACAAAATTCTTAAAACACAAACTATCGTATCTTATTCAACATGAAAGATTATTTGAATAGCCTTATAACTCCTAAGGAAAATGAGCCTGTCATTTAAAACTCAAATGAGTGGGGACAAAAGAGAAAAGGAATTTCTAGACCCACATGGTTTCGCTGGCAAATTATACCAAACATTTAAAAAATAATTAACATCAATTCTGCACAATTTGCTGTAGAAAAAGGAGAAACACTTTCCAATCCATTTTTATGAAACTAGAACTACCTTGGTACCAAAAGCAAAGACAATACAAAAACTAGACAAAATACAGATGAATTTTTCTCATGAAGATACATGCAAAAATCCTAAACAAAATATCTGGAAACATAACTCAGCAGTGAGCAAAAAGAATTATATACCATAACCAGGTGAGGTTATTCCAGGGATGCAAGGCTGGCTCAACATTTGAAAATCAACTAGTGTAATTAGTATTAAAAAGCTTAAGAATAAAAGGCACATAGCTGGGCATGATGGCACATGCCTGTAATCCCAGCACTCAGGAGGCTGAGGCAAGAGGATCACTGTGAGTTCGAGACCAGCCTGGGCTACATAGTGAGTTCCAGGTCAGTCTTGACTACATAGTGAGACCCTGTCTCAAAATAAATAAATGAATGCATGAATGAATAAATAAATAAATGGCACATAATCGTAACACCTCCATCTCTTAGACCTCTAGATGGTGACATATCCTAGACTCAGTCTACCTGTAATTATTTCTCCTTATGACCCCCCTCTAGATTTCTCACTTGAACTCAACTGACAAACCCAATTGCTTATTAAACATCTATCTATACAGCTGGCCCTCTGTTATTTGTGGGTCTCACACCCACAAAGTCAAACAACCACAGATCAAAATACTTGGGAGAAAATCCCTGCAACTCTACTGAACATAGACAGCTTTTTACTTGTCACCGTTCCTAAACAATACATATAACAACTATTTACATTGAACTAGGGGTTTTAAATACCTACAGATGATTTAAAGGGTATAAGAGGATGTGTGTAGGATACATGCAAATCCTATGTCACTTTATATAGGAGACTTGTGTATCAGTGGGAGTTTGATATCTGTGGGGTATGTGTGTGTGTGCCCGTGTGTTCTAGAACCAATGCTACTCAGTGATGACTGTACTTGGACAGGCAATTCCAACTGGACATACCCAAATCCAAACTCCAAAGTTGCTCTTTCTGTAATTCAACAAATCGCAACTCTATTCTTAAAATTGCTTAGGCTAATACCCCTGGGATCTTCTAAACTCTTGTCTTTCTTTCATACCCAACCTATCAGCAAATCTTGTTCTTTCTCTAAAATTTCCACAGAATCTGTCCTCTTTTCACCACCTCCTCTGATATAGCCTTGGTCTGAGTCATTCTTTTACCTGGGTTATTATAACAGGGATAAATTGGTCCTCCTGTCACCCCGGTACTATGACTATTTTCTACTTAACAGCCACAATTCTCTTTTGTTCCAAACTGTCCAATGAACCTACATTTCATTTAGAGTAACATCCAAGTCCGTATTATTGCCTCCAAGTGATGTGGTCCCCCTATACTCTCTGAGATCATTTCAAGTCACTCCAATCTTACTATTCTCTTTTCTGTTCCTCTATTTTACTAACAAGGGTCCTCTAGTTCCCCAACAAGGGTCTAAACTTGTTTCCCCTCTGCCTAGGATAGCTTATGATTTGTTCTGATTTCTTTTAGTTTTGATCAAATGTCACCTTATCAATAAGGCTTTCTCTGACTAGCAAAAATGTCAGATTCCTATCTGCCCACAAATAATGCATTTTTATTCAAGGCACTTTCAGATTCATTTTATTCTTGCATGTTTGTTTTCTACCCATCCCCCTATAAGCTTCCAAGGACACTGATATTTTGTCTGTTTTCCTAGAATGGTGCATCAGATATAAGTGCTCAAAAATTATTTGCTGGGCTGGGGATTTAGCTCAGTGGTGCTGATACCTGTCTTGCAAGCACTAGGTCCCAAGTTTGATCCCTGGTATCAAACAAACAAAAACAAAAAAACCAAAAATTATTTGCTGAATGAATGAATAAACCACTGGCTCAGGAGTAACTACGGATGTTATTCATCCATATTTCATGTTTTTTCATCTTTAAATAGTGATAATAACACCCATTCCATAGGATTGTGGTAAGAATTAAATATAAGTGTAGCTGGGTACACACATGTAATCCCAGCACTCAGGAGGCTGAGATGGGAGGATTGCCCAGTGTGAGGCCAGCCTGGGCTACATACTGGTTCAAAGCCAGTGTGAATTACATAACAAGACCTTATCTCAAACAAAACAAAACAAAATGTATGTAATGTGCTGAGTATGCATGACTTGGCATAAAAGTGCTAAGTATATGATAATGTTACTTAATACTGAAAGATGGTCTAGGAGTGTACTCAAAAACCCTAGTTTACGATCATAATTAGATACTGACTGGGATTTTAGGCTACCAGCCTCTTTTAATTTACTCAATGAACCAAGAATCAAGTGCTGGAGCAGAAGAGATGGCTTGGATGAGATCTTTTCCTCAAGTCTCATTTATGTGATCTTGGGTAGGTGACTTAACCTTTCTGAGCCTCAGTTTCTTCATTTTTTTAAATGCAAAGAATATAACAGCTACTTCATAACCTTTGTTATGAGGATTAAATGTGGTATTATGTGGGCCGGTGGTTCTGCTCCCTGCCTTGCAAGCGCAGGGGCCAGAGTTCGATCCCCGGTACCGGAAAATAAATAAATAAATAAATAAAAATAGTAAAGTGCCTAGCACATAACACTCTACGTTAGCTATAGTTATGATGATTCTAGTCTTCTCTTTTTCTTTTTCTTTTTTTTTTTGATGATTCTAGTCTTGATGAAGGGTAAAGAATGACAATGCAGTTAAAGCAAAACAGGCATCAAGAACGCCTCCAAAACTGGGGAAGACCCACAACTAGAATATTCAACAGTGATCAGGAAATTTTAGAATTCTGTAATGTCTATGAAAAACTAACTCTCTATCACTACACCCATAGCAGTTAGAAAGAAAATTTCTCTGATGATTTGACAACTGAAATTTAAAACTCTTAGAGGATAAGGATTTAGTCTCAAAGAGTGCTTCCTAAGAGAAGACAATGGCCGCACAGAGAGGGCAAAAGCAGATGTAATTCCCTGAATGAAGCAACCAACTAAGAGCCAAAGAGCACAAAGGTGTGTTTCATAAAGACTGTACAGTAACAAATTAAACATCCTAACAGGATATTAGAGGGTGGTCGCGGAGAGTGAGCAGAAACTCAACAGGAGAGAAAGAATCGTGTTTGTAGAGAGAGCGAGAGCCAAGGCGTAGAGGTGTGAAAAGGGCACGTGGGCGCCTTGGAAGAAGCAGAAAGGAGCGGGGGGGGGGGGG